CAGCGCACTGGCTTGGGCAGTCATGTTGGGCAACCTCACCAACGTTCGGCTCCTCATCGGCAGCAAGGCAAACACGAGAGCACGATACAAAGACCAATCGCTTCTTCACATGGCTGTCACTGCCAAGGAGAATGCCTTCGAGGTGGTCAAGATCATCCTCAAGGATGAGTCCGTTGACAGAAACGCGCGAGAGGGGCGCAGACCCAATGACACCCCACTCATGACGGCACTGCGAAACCAGGCAGACCCTCGGATCATTGATGCTTTGAAGAAAGCGGGAGCTTCCGAAACTGTCAAGAACAGCAATGGAGAAACGGCCAAGGACATTGCCAACGGCCTCATCAGCCCTGGGATCAGCGCGCCTCTTGAAGATCCCGAGAACCAGGGTTCAATCGAACCTGCGCTGGCCAAGTTCATCATCTCCGCAGTGCTTCTGTTGTTCGCATACTGCAAGCCCTGGAAGACACTCAAGGATGCTCTTGCTGCAGCCTTCAAGCAGATCAATAATGAAATTGGTAAAACCAATCCTGGGGACAAGCCTCAGGTAAGCGCATCTGCACCTTCCAGCTTGCTCTGATGACAGAACTGACGTTTTTGAAGAAGCCAAGGTTGCCAAGTTCCTACCAGGACTGTGTAGACTCAATCAGGAAGATCATCAAAGACATGGGTCTCGACGACACATACCCACCAGACCATCCGTTGATCGACGACATTGCCGACGAAGCATGGGAGAGACAAAAGGATGCAGGCACGAAGACCGAGGATCCGGGCGAGTTCAACGAGAAGCTGCGTTGCGCCTTGTACCAGCCTATTCTTTACTGCGGTAAGCTTTCTTGGCACGAGAGGTAATCTGAGGAGCATTGGCTGATGAAGATCTCACGAACAGATGACAGTGGATCCATGGAGGGAAATCGATGGACTGCCCAGACCGATCTTGTTGACGACATTGGCGTGCTGATGAACTCGTTTGCCCCAGAGAACATGGGTGTGCACATTCGTTTCCTGAACAGGAATGACGGGGGTCTCGACAACGTCCGGGGCAGCGACATCCGCGGCAAGTTCAACTTCAAGCCGAATGGATCCACCAAGCTCGGAACAGGTCTCAACGAAAAGATCCTCAAGCCGTTTGTGTACGATGTCCTCGACAAGGAGGAGGACTTCAAAAGGCCGCCTCTCATCATCACGATCACGGACGGTGAACCCAACGAAGAAGATCAGAGCACATTTGCGAACGGAATTTCTACCTGCAGCCAGAAATGCTCTGCAGCGTACTATTCCCCTGACTGTAAGTATATTCTGATTCTGTTCGTTGCGTGACAGACTACTGACCTTTTTGATAGTTGTCAGATTCCTCGTCAACCAGGTTGGCGACAACGCTAAGGCTGCGCTGTTCCTCGACGGACTCCAGAATATCAGCAAGGAGAAGAAGTACAAGGATCTTCTTCACGTTACCTCTGGTCAGTTTTCCTCTCTATTCGCATGATGACAATGCACTGACTTGTGTCAGATAAACTTGATCAGAAGTATTACGAGCTTCGAAAGAACAAGAAAGAGCTTAACCTCTGGGTACGTAGAGCTTACTCCTCCCGTCCCATCTACCACAAGGCTGGCTGAACTCTTTGATGTGGACCTCTGGACTAACACGTTGTGCACCTCTAGCTCTTTGAGACAATCTTGCCCCCCCTGCCCTGAGTATCGCAGACTTGGACTACGATACACACAGGGCACTAGAGGACATGGTGTCATAGGATAAGATACCTTGATATTATGGTTCAGTCCGGTAGTCTATTTCATATATGCAATTGAAATCCAAATTTTTGATCAACGTTGTGGCAATGCCAATGACAGCGAGTGAGGCCCTATCTGTGTATTTCCTCAGACAGTAACTGGTAAAACCTTTAATGTCATGGAAGTACCTTATGTTTCCATTTCGATATCAAATGGTAGCTTTGCCCTTCTATGACCTGTCTCTAATCTATTCGAGACCTTTACAGCTGCGGAGTAGGTCCTGTAGCAATGCCCTGGCGATTGAAGTAAATCTTCTGTCCCGTTCGTAGACTCTCTTGCAAGCCCGCAGCTATCCTCAGAGACGTGACGGCTGATCTCAGTGGGATAGGCATATCCTTCCCGTCAAGAATTGCGTCCACAAATGCGTTTGCCTCCACCACAAAAGCCGAGATGTACCTGTCATACCATGAAGGCGTCGGCTCAACCTTGACATATCCATCGCTCGCAGCGATCTCCACACGATTCTTCCTTGGGGTCGCGTTAACCGTCAACTTGCCCTCGGTGCCAAATATCTCTGTGACATTGTCGTATCCCACGGCAGAACTCCTTGAATGGTAGAAATGGGCGATCTTGCCATCCCAGTACTCACACAACCCAATGGCATTGTCGGCGTCTCCAGTCTTTTTGAGATCTGGGAAGATGTCGGCTGTACCAGTTGCTGACACAGACTTTGGCACTGAGTCCTCACCAAGGAACATCAGCGACAAGTCGATGTCGTGAATTGCAGTGTCGTAGTAAATTCCTCCGGAGTTGGCAAGATACTGGATGAAGAACGGACTCTGGTCCCCTTTCTCTATGCCGTGGGATCTAAAGACGAATGGCCTTCCAATTGTCCCTTCCTTGATCTTGGAGAGGGCGTCTTGATAACTATCGTCGAAGCGACGGGAGAACGCAACCATTACCTTTGTTTCAGGCTTTGATTCGACACGTCGACACAAGTCTTCAAGCTGCATAGATATTAGCGTTCGTGGTTCATCCGATGCAGACGGTGACAGAATTACCTCTGGGACAGAGTTGCAGATCGGCTTTTCGCACAGAACATGGATGCCTTTCTCAAATGCCGCAATGGTCTGGGGCATGTGAAGCGCTGTGATGGACGAGATGATTACAGCCTCGAGTCCAGGGGTCTGAATCATTTCCTCGAAAGTGCTGTACACCTTGACTCCGTAAGGCTCGAGATTGACAGCAGCCCAATCGAGATCAGCTTTTGCAGGGGAGCAAGCGCAGAGAAGCTTAGCTCGGGGGACTAGTCGCAATAGGTTCATGGCATGACGTTGACCCATGCGACCAATGCCAACGACTCCGACGTTGAGGATCGTGTGTTGGGAGGCCATCGTCGGAGGTCGTCCTTTTGGAAGTTAGGTGAGGGTGGTCAGCTTCTGTTGCAGGAAGGGCGTTTGATGAATGACGTGTGCGAGATACAGCTAGAACGATGAAAGAGCAGAGCAGCCAATGCCTTGCTTACAGAGTGCACGATAAGTCTTTTATGGTCACGACCGAAGTCCCGTTGGGCGTCTGCAATAATCCGCGGGTTTTGTTGCTATTTCAGACGAATGCAGGGAGAACCGGCGAAAATGCTCCCAATTGGTAATACCTTGATTGTCAAATCACCGACCGTCATTGCGGGGGACATCCCGAATACCGACGTCAGCAGGGCCGGGACGGCCAACTCAGTCTACGGAGACTATATAAGATGGGTCTTCGGTCAGTGAATTCCGTAGAACTGGCTGAGTCTTCATCCGCCGAATCATTCTAGAATTTTTGAATACAGCGCATTCCTCTGTCAAGCGATCTCCAACTGGCACAGTCTGACGTTGTTCGTCTCAGCCAATCACATCACAATGTCGGAATTACCAGCGATTCGTTGGGGAATTGTTGGTGAGATCTTCCCCCGCCCCCGCATGGCGCCAAGCTTGCGTTGTTTGACAAACTGACTGACAGGTCACAGCGACGGGGATGATCTCCTCTTGGTTTGTGGAGGATCTTTTGATCTCCCGACCAGATGCGAAGGTCAAGCATATTGTGCAAGCAATTGGTAGCTCCTCTGTCGAGAAGGGAAAAGACTTTGCGAAGCAGTACTGCCCCTCAAGTAACCCCACTATCTACGGGTCGTACAACGAAGTCTACGAGGATTCGAACGTGGATATTCTCTACATCGGAACCCCGCATGCATTTCACAAACAAAACTGTCTGAATGCGATTGCGGCGGGAAAGCCGGTCCTTTGCGAGAAGGCCTTCACCTTGAATGCCCGAGATGCGAAGGAAGTGTTCGCCTTTGCCAAGGAGAAGGGAGTTTACGTTGCTGAAGCAATGTGGCTCCGCCACCGCCCGCTTGTTCAGGACTTGCAGCGTATGTTGCATAAGGAGAAGATCATTGGCGACGTCTTCAGGGTGTACTCCGAGTTCGGTTTGGAGATGGATATCCCCAACCTACCGGACGGATCCAGATACAAGCAGCCTCGCCTCGGTGCTGGCTCACTACTTGATCTTGGCATTTACACCTTGACGTGGGCTATTCTCGGTTTGGATGCAGGAACCCCAGCCACTTCAGAGAAACCCAAGATTCTCGCCGCTCAGACGCATTGGGGCGAGGTTGAGGTGACAACCACCGTGATTCTTCAGTACCCGTCAACGGGAAGGCAAGGCGTAATCACATCGACAACGATGGCGACGGGCAACCCGGACGTCATAGCACGAATTCAAGGAACCAACGGCACTGTTGAAGTCCATGGAACGGTTCCTTCCGACCCAGAGTCTTTCACTGTCTACGAGAAGTTCTGGAGGGACCAGAATGCGGGCATCGTGAAGAGAGATGTTGCAAAGAAGCACGATTACAAGCCAGTTGGGCGTGGTTACTACTGGGAAGCTGATAATGCTGCATTGGATGTTTTGGCTGGAAAGCTGGAAAGCTCGGTCATGCCATGGTCAGAGACTATACGTGTTATGGAAATCATGGACGAAATAAGACGACAAGGAGGAACTGTGTATCCTCAAGACTCTGAGCAATGATAGATTGTCATGTTTGCTAGATTTACTAGAAGTAGAGGTTGCTAAATAAGACTGAATGTAGATCGATTTCGTTTTCAGACTTCTACCCTAACTCGAGGGCTAGTGTCCCTTTGCTCCTCTCAGGTTTTCTGCAAAACGCATGTTCAATAGGGGCTGTGCATTGATACAACGGCTCGATGCGAACTGGAGATAACTGTCAAGCACTAATCCAACTTCTCCAGCGCAAACTCCTCCACCAACAGACTTCCACTCAGATGTTTCTTGGCCCAATTGAAGACACCAAAACGGTACCCCATGAAGAAGTACCACTCGGCGTTGAGAGCGTAGTCTGGCCCAAGCTGTTCAAAGTTTTGCCCATCAACGCTGTACCAGAAAGAAGCATATCGCGGAATGTTGCTAGAGTCTCCCAAGACTGAAGGCGTGATGTCGGCTTTGATCCTTAGCCACAGGTCTGCACCTTCGATCACAGGACCCTCTGCCTTGACGTAGCCGTTGGAGGTGGTCAACCAATCTTGCTCTGAATCCATGCTGATGCCAGCAACATAGACAAGTTGCGCTACCCCATCGGTCTTGTGGATCCCGATGTAAGCGCTGTCTTGTCGAAGTGCCGTGACACCAGCTTGGTCCCCTTCAATCATCCCAGAAATGTCAAGGCGGAAAGTTCCTTGGCTCTTCGGCCCAAGAATTTGTTGCGTGAGAGTGTTTGAGGCTCCGTATAGTCCCTCACAAACCGTCGCTGTGTTTAGAACCAGTCCATCAGGGCCCAAGCTCCATGCGTCGTTATCTGGGTTATGGTTCCACTCCCAACGAGGTCCCAGGGTGTCTCCCTCAAACTTGTCAACATAGGCACCAATTCCTTCGACGGTCTTGGTAGTCTGAACGGGTGCAGGGTAGTTGACGCCCCAGCCACCATCTGCATCCGTAACTACCTGCGGCCAGCCTTCGGCATCCTATTCGATGGGTGCAAGAACTGTGACGCGGCCACCTGGATACACATCGATAAAGGCCATGTACAGCCAGTCACCGTTCTCTGTGGAGACGGGACCTCGTTGGTGGGGAGCTCCGGCTCCTTCGACTGGTGCTTTCATCTGAGCGATGACCTCTCTGATCTCATAGGGACCCCATGGACCGGATGTCGACTTGAGCACATGTTGTTCGTCTCCTGGCTTGGTGATCCAGATATAGTAGGTACCATCAATGTGGTAAAAGCGCGAGCCCTCGATGTATCTGTGAGCATCTTCAGTGTAAACCACCTCCAGTAATCGTCAACGCGTTTACCAGAGATGAGCACTTCGAATATGCTTACCTCGCTCCGAACCTCCGAGAATCCATCAGGTGACAGCTGAGCAACATGGATGTCTACCGCTCCATACGCGATGTACATGGTGTCTTCGGTGTCTATTAGCAGGCCCAGATCATAGTAGCAATTGGGGATCGGTTCGTGATGGGTCCAAGGTCCTTCTGGGTTCGATGCAGTGAAGATGTGAGTTTTGCCCTCTCCCTGTATGCAGCCGTACCAGTAGAAAACGCCGTTGCTCTGGCGATATCCAAGGGAGGATGCCCAGACCCCTTTGACGTATGCTGCGTGATCACTTCCGCTGAGATGAAATTGGGATCCTGGGAGCTCGGGAACGCAATGAGATACAAACTCCCAGTTGACCAAGTCATAGGATCACAGTAAGGGTGCCCCGGGGGAGTAGTGCATCGTCGAGGCGCCATAGTAGTACGTGTCGTTGACTCGGACGACTTCCGGGTCTGCAAGATCCGCCCATAGGATTGGGTTCATGAACGTGTTATCCTACCCCATGGGTTAGCCATAGAGGTTACGCTGTGACCCTCCACATGTTTCCCCGTCAGAGTCATACGGCAGTCAACAAGGTGCGCCTCCAGGTGGCAAACTGCGAAGAATAAAAGTTAGAAGGGAAGAAAGAAGAAAGATCCTGCCCCATGACCAAAGCGAGCCTCGATGCGGCCGAAGCCTAACATCGCGAGAAAGAAGATGATGGAAGTTCTGCACTGCATGCTGAAAGTGATAAATTCTGAAGATTGCTATTGATGCGTAGTTGTTTTCTGAGAATGACCAGGCCGGCTGTCCTTTCTATACTTGGTTGAAATGCAGTAGTATTTGCCATGGGTATCTTAATACTTGGGTTGACGCTCGTCGGCATGTCCATCTCATGACAATCAGTCGTTCCGAAGCAAAGCCTTCCGGCTGAAGCAAATTTCAAGAGTTTAGCCGAAGCATAACGTAAATTCTAACTACTTCCACTACAAATTCTATGCGTTGTTTCCTCAGACAGGTCTACGTACTGTGAATGCACGTGCTGAGATGCCTGGGTAGACTGAGTTGCCAAGAGTCAGAAACGCTCCCCGCTCATTCGTCCGGATGCTGACCATCAAGATGTATGGGGCGATCTTCCTCATTGGCAACGGTTTCCAAGTGGGAACTCTTAGCACGATTCCCTCTGCAAGTCTCATGAGACTGACCACAGGGTTCAAGAAGAGCGTCACAAAGCCTTTTCGGTTCGCGGGTAAATCTAGAAACGTCGAAATGAGTAGATCAGACCCCAGTAGATCTTGTCTTCCCCGCACTCCGAGACCTGGAAACATGGTCTGGGGCATACGATCACTCGGGACGGGATTAAGCGAGATACGATTACGCGGGATTGGTGCGGCACAGCGCCAACTACCGGTCACCTTTTGTAATCATTTGCCGCCAATGCACCTTTCTCTTCCCAATACCGATACCAGGAGTGAATTTCATTCCCAACATGTGTTGAGAATGTTGTTTCTTTGGTTTCTTTGCGGGATGTATTTCCGCCTGAAGTTTTCCTTTTAGCCGGAATCAAACGGCAGAAGCTTCCCACGCAATACCAAGACGTGGGATGATGATCAAGACCTCGGGAGCCCTGACCGTATCCTGGGTCTACGCACGTCCAAGAGGACATGTATCAATAGTAAAGTACTTAAAGCATGATACGGGCCCTATGCAGCAGAAGGAACTGACTGTGTAAGATCCTGCGAACTGCGGTGAGTTCGTCCGGCTGACCATGATGAAGCTCTCTGTTCTCAAGTACCTGCTCATAGGCTGGCTCGTTTGCAATGGGATCTCCTCTGCACAAGCCGGAAACTCGACTTTTCACAATTCTGTCTTGCCTGGTTGGCATTCTGATCCCTCTTGTGTGCAGGTTGATGGAATATTCTACTGCATTACTTCCAGCTTCATCACTTTCCCGGGCCTCCCAATTTACGCATCGAAGGACTTGTCGAACTGGAAGCTAATCAGCCACGCGTGGAACCGAGAAGCCCAAATGCCCGGTACAAGTCAACAGACAAAAGGTATGTCTTGCTGTGTTGTGTCGCTACACTGTTTTTCACTCAGGCGTGTTGAAATTGGCGTATTACAAGGCCAACAAGAAGGGTTCTACGCGGCTACTATCAGGCACCGCGATGGACAGTTTTGGGTCATATGTGAATACCTTGGCTTGCCTGATGGCATGTTGGGGACAATTTTCAAGACAAATGATCCGTATTACAACGCGGCCTGGGAAGACCCTATCACATTTCCCACACCGGCCGGAGACCTAGATCTTTTCTGGGATGATGACGGCAAGCTGTACATTCCTGGCGGAGGCCAAGGCACCGTACTTCTTGATGTCGACCTTGAAACTGGCACAGTCCTCAACAACACTTTTTTTGGTCAGGAACTGGAGGTGTGTGGCCAGAAGGTCCGCACATCTACCGCGAAGACGGGTTCTACTACTTGTCAATGGCCGAGGGGGGGACTGAGCCTGGGCACTATCAAGTCATGGGGAGATCGGCTGATCTCACTGGTCCATATACGCCATGCCCCAACAATCCAGTGCTCACAAACAAGGATACAGATGAGTACTTCCAGGTATGTGAAATAAGTCATATTGTATAATCTTTGTCTAATCGGAAAACGTAAGACCGTTGGCCACGCAGACCTGTTCCAAGACACCAATGACAACTAGTTGGGTGTCGCGTTGTCCACGCGTTCAGGACCAGAGTGGTCCATCTATCCGATGGGACGAGAAACGGTCCTGTTTCCGGTAACCTGGGAGCAGGGCGAATGGCCCATTTTGGAGCCAGTCAGGGGCAAGATGTCGGGCTGGCAGACGCCCCCATCTAGCAGAGAGCTCCCTGGCCATGGCCCTTTCAACTCTGATCCCGACGTATATCACTTCACGACAATGAGCGAGATACCACGGAACCTAATCTATTGGATGGTCCCATTGCAGGGAGCTTTTGGGATCGTGGACTTGAAAGGCATACATATTGTGCCCAGTTGAGGTAACCTCACTGGCGACAATGCAGAGCTAGATAGCCGATCTGGACTGTCCTTCATCGGACGACCACAGACCGATTCTCTGTTCAACTTCAATGTGACCCTAGACGTCCCCCTCGATGAAGCTGATCTAGAGGTAGGAGTCACTGTTTTCTTGACACAGGATAATCACGCCGATCTCGCCGTCGTAGCGCAACCCAAGGCCGATGGCGCCGAAGGCACTGATCGCTTCTTGCGTTTTAGAGCCACAGGAAATAATGCCCCTGAAGAATATCTCGCGAAAGTTCCCGAAACATGGGATGGAGATCTCATTCAACTCGAGATTTCTACACCAAATGCAACACACTATAACTATACTCTTGCCGCATATTCAGCTGCAGAGCCCGAACACAAGATCGTAATGGCTATCGTGTCGGCGAAGTTGGTCAGCGGTCAAAGTGGCCCTTATACTGGGGCCCTTCTCGGCGTCTATGCAACTTGCAATGGAGCTGGAACGGGACTTAAATGCCCTTCAGGAGGTGACGTCTACGTGACAGAGTGGATGTACACAGGCAAGGGCCAGTACTACACTGCCGATGACCTCAGACCTTAGCGTTGGGTGTTAAGTCGTTCGGCGTGGAAACAGCATAACACAGAATCTAAGTTTTCAAGGCACATTTTACTGAGATATCACAGTATCCTAAGGTAGATGTCAATATCGGGTGTACAATTGGGCAAATTGCTTCATCACGTTCAATAGAAGACCGACTTCGTGTGACTACAGTGCCCCAACGTTACTCCGGCACGCCAAGCTGAGATGGGACTGGTTCGGGGTTTAATTGCATCGCAGATTTTACCTATTCAGAGCAGACTGTGATATCAGCTCTGGCTTGTTCAAACGAGCTCGTTCCTCGTTCACCACAACGTAGCTGCACACTTCGTCGGGGATAATTACCCACTCGACCCCTGCACAAGTCGCAGCTGACGGAGACGATATGAGGATCTGGTTCGCAGCTGACAGGACAGAATGGAGCAATGCACCGGAAACGGTTAGACCAGCATTGAATGGCCGAATCAAAGTTAGAGAAATGCGAGGAATCGGGGCTTCTCTCGCCTCGTTGTACCGAAGTACTTGGCTCTTCAATGCTGTTTACAACACAGATAAGTCCAAAGTTCTCAACCCTGAAAACAGCTGACCTACCCGCTGACCAGAAGATAGCGAGTTGAACAGTTTCTCCAGGACAATTCCCCCACCACTCCAACATGAAACCCATCCATCTCTCGTATTGCTCTGGCAGCTGCTGCAAACCACTTGAATCATTTCATAGTCGAAGGGAGCCTCTAGGACCTATAGGCTCTCTAGAGCGCTACTTTAAGGGGCTAATCACCGATTATGAAGGCTTCCAGGCCTTCCTTGACGTGACAGACTTCTTCCAGAAGATCTGCCCGCGTTACTAATAGATAGGACTTAACCTATCCTCTCAACAACAGACTACCTATAGTTATCAGGACAGCAGATTGCTATAACGGAACTAGGGCACCAGTGGGAACTAGGGACGGATAGAACACATAGTGGCCCTCGGGCAAGATCTGGAGGACGCTAGGAAGAGGCGTGTACTACACAGTAGATAGCTAGATCCTGCGGCCCTCCACGCCACATACCCTTCGGGAGGTCTGCCGCAAGGGCGGCTGCGCCCTTGCCGCCATGGCGTTAAAAAAAAAAAAAAAAAAAAAAAAAAAACTTGAATCATTTCATCGTTAATCTCTTCGGATCCATCGATTCTATCAAAGCCTGGTCATCATGTCTTTGCAACCCCCTTCTGTTAACTCGTCTGTGCCACCATATATCGACGGCAAGTTTCTCTTTGTCAATGATGACCTCCTCGCCTCTGCTGAAGCCCTCCTTTCCCGATGAACCCGTCGAAGTCCTTCGCGATCGATACCATACCAGAGGCTACCTCCTTGTCAAGGGTCTCCTGCCTCGACAAGACGTCCTGGCCGCCCGAGAATCATACTTTGCATCGCTATCCCCAAGCGGTATTTTGAAGCCAGGCACGGCACCTAAGGAAGGCATCTTCGATCCGAAAGCGAGCCCCTCGAACTACCCCGGGATAGGTGCCGGAGCCAAACGGACCACCGCTACGGCCCCCGGGAGTCGGGACAAACGCGGGATGTATCAACTATGATCCAAAAGGTAGGATCAGACTTGGAACTGACCTACGCTTTGTGGACTCGTCTCGGCTGTGGGATAAGGTGAGACAATCTATCACTTAGTTGCTAGTTTTTGCTTGTCACACTGACCAACATTGTCTAGCGATGGAGCGAATACTATCGTATTGACGATGGGCTCTAGGCTGCAATGTCATAGTGAACATGCAAGGAGTGCCCTTTGTTATTTTTGTCTGTAAACTTGCAACCATCTTATTGACTACTTCGCCTTTCTCCTCACACATTCATTGAGCTTCTCTGTTCTTTTAACTCTCTGGTTGCCATTGAGAATTTTCTTGCGATATTGATGGAGGTTATGTCAGGTTCGGCGACATGAAATACTTCACCCAGCATGTTACGCTCTTTCCTCACACCCCCAGACTACCAGCAAAGTAGGCTTTCTTTACTTTGTCAGGTTCCAACTGTTGATATGTCAGCAATTCACAATCTTTTACCATTCAATGACCCACTGATGCTGGTGGCTCCAAAACATCTCATTTTCGTGGGGGGAAGCTCCTTTATCGGCGTCGGCCGAATTGACAATAAGCTCCGAATATTGCGCAATACAGTCAAATGGCCTGATAAGCAGCACTCATTGGCCTGCGATATGAGAGCATAAAATGCCGCGCAAGCCGCTTTCGATTTCATCACATGGCGGATGGGCTTGATGATTGTTGTCGTGAACCTCTGAGCGACTTGTTCAATCATTTCCGTTACGGCTGTGGTCTCAAATTCCTACTCATCGTGGACCATCATTATCATGGGAAGCATTCCTCCCCTCAAGGTCGCCATTATTGGCGGTGGACCAGGCGGCTTAGGCGCTGCGATCGAGTTTGGAAAGCTCAATTATGTCGATTGGACTCTTTACGAGAAGAAGCCTGAGATAAGTGAGACTGGTGGTGGCATCAGTCTACAGCGCCACACTTGGCGATTGCTGGAGTTGATTGGGGCTGCCAAGAATGTAGACCCAAATGACTTCTTCAGGGCTGAAGATGGAACCAGCGGACAAACAAGGTATCAAGTCCGACTTGCGATAGACCGCCCAAACATTAGCTGACCATCACCAGAAACGGAAGAACTGGCAAGCTACTCGAGCAGAGCAGTCACGCAGCAGATGTCCCTTTTCAACAACGCAGCTGCCGGCTGGTCCGGGCCAAACTTCAAGCAGCGCTCCTCCAAGAGGTTGACAAATTTCGGATCAGGGTGTCAAAAAAGTTGACCAATATCGAGAAGTTGCAAAATGGGAAAATTAGGATTGATTTCGCCGATGGCTTCACTGATGAAGTGGATTTGCTTATTGGCGCAGATGGCATCAGATCTGTAGGTTCCACTACCCAGTAAAGTACCATCCTCCACCGGTCCGCTGATTGCAACACAGTTTGTGCGCTCGTTTGCATTTCCCGACCATAAGATCAAGTATAACGGACAATCCGCTTATCGAACCATCATCTCTAAATCTGCCGCCCTCGACATCGAGGGTATTCCCAGATCACCCGTTTTCTGGCAGAACGTTGGTGGAAAATACGTCTTTACTTGTCCTCTGGGTGGAGATGACTTTGAGGTTACTGCTCGCATCCGCCGACCGACTGAGGGCCAAGAACACGTCAGCTGGGGTCGGTCTTTTGACTTCTCGACCATCGCCTCAGAGTATGGTGAGTTCTGCAAGCCAGTTCGCAAGGTCATCCAGCTCGCAGCACAGGGAAAAACGGAGGAGTTTGCGTTATTCTCGGGTGCGCGACTCGAAAGCGTGATTTCGCACGACGCCATCGCCCTTATCGGAGATGCATCCCATCCACTGTCCGGAGCCTTTGGCGCAGGGGCGGGCTTCGCTCTAGAGGACGTATATGCTCTTACCCGAAGCTTGGACTTTACGCGCGTAAAGGGAGAAGGTTTGGCAGAAGCCCTCCAACTATATGATCAGATCAGATCGCCGCATTATCGAGACTTGTACGGCGTTCTAGACAATTTTGCAGCTGTCAACTCGAAGCTCTTGGCCGAACAACTTCCGGCTGATGATGAAATCGAGGAAAGGGTTAGAAGAGCTAGCGAGAAGAAAGCTACTTGGATGTACCATTACGAGATAGATAAAGCAGTAGAGAAGCTTCTGCGCCATGGACAGTCCGTCCAGCCGGCAGCGCTGCTCTAATAGCGAAGCCGTGCTCGACACCGCACAGTCTGGGGTCTCTCGCCTGAACAGATGAAGGAGCGGTAATCAATGCAGCTTTGAGGATTAAAGAGATAATCATGCAATAATGCTACCAAACGAGACTGTGCAGGGAAGCTTCTTCCCTAATTTTGCCAAGCGATTTTATCTTCCATCATCGCCGCGAGCCCTCGACGTGGTCAGATGATACCTCTACCTTCTCAGTCGATGTGACGTTCTTCTCATCGAACTCTACGTCCTTCGAGGGAGCTATCACAATTTCGTCTCCGAACTTAGCCGCAACCTCCTCGAGAGATAGGAACCGCGTCTCTGGCAAGAAGAAGAAGTAAATGGTTCCCGCGAATAGGTTGCAAGTAATGAAGACAAAGTAAAATTTCCACGAGATCTCATCAAAAGCGATGGATGCTGCGTATGAAAGCCAGATCGCCGTGATCGATTGCGTGAAGACAGAGAAGCCGACGCCAACACCGCGAAGATCGAGAGGGAAGATCTCTGCGACAAGGACCCAGTTGACGCTGTTGAAGAAGAAGGAGTAGGCGAAGACAAAGAGAAAGATGAACGCCACTCCCGCCCGAGAGCCTGCTGGGTTAGAGCCCTCTGGGAACCGCTCTGAGAGCGCCGTCAAAACTGCGAGCAATACGGCCAGACAGTAGCTACCAGAGATTACCGTGACGCGCCGGGTCCAGTGATCGGCAACGAAGAACACGTTGATGATCTGGCCAATGACAGCCATGAAACCGTACAGAGCTCCGATGAGGAGCACAGTCTGTCCTTCGTAACCGAGAGAGTTGTACATGATGGATTGGTAGTTCTGGATGATGTTTGAACCAGAGAGCTTCATCATGTTGACTGTGAGGCAGGCAAGGAGAGTGCGACGGATGTATTTGCGCGTGAATAGGTTCAGGAAGTTGGTAATGACGTTCTTCTTCTTTTCTGACTCCAGTTGAATTTGACTACACATTTCGGCGAACTCTCTTTCTATGACCTCAGAGCCGCGGTGCTTGTGAAGGGTGTACATGACCTGTTTGGCTTCATCGTATCGCTCTTTGGAGGCCACTATGAGATGCATGATTAGTCGAAAATTCTGTATCTACGTGGGAGGATACGTACACTAACGCGGGGAGTAAGGGAGGAAGATGGTCATGATGGCAAGGCAGAGCGCTGGAGGGATCTGGGTAGCCAGTGGTACCCGCCATTGCAGGTCACCGACAGCGAATGAGCCAGCGTAACCAACCCAGCCAGCAGCAAAAAAGCCTAGAGTATTCATCAAGCCTTTCAAACCCACGAGGAATCCGCGGTTCTCGGGGAGACTCAACTCGGCCAAGTAGACCGGAGCCGTAGGGTAGACCATGCCGGTCGAGAAGCCAGAGAAGGCGCGACCAACGATCATCATGGCTGGGTTCACAGCGGCAGTCTGAAGAATGGCCCCGATGACGCTGGCAGTTGCACCCAGAAGAAGGGTCCACCGCCGAGAAATCCTGTCCATGGTGTAGGCTGAGCCACCACTACCAAAGGCGTATCCAGCATAGTATCCGGATACGATGCCAGCCCTCACAGAAGCATTATCCAGCGAGGATCCATACATGTACAGCTTGAATGTCTTTTGTGCAATGGTCGATGCGATGATACCGGTATCGATGCCGTACACGAAGCTGCGATGTCATGTCGAGTCAGTAATTTGGTCCAATATTATCTCAACGTCAAGTTGCGGATGATTGTACGAACCCTGCGAGACTGATGGCTAGACCTATCAGGATCGATCTAGTCGAGTTGCCGCGATGGCCCGCTGTACGTTTCGTCATTGTGTAAGTGTGTGTCTGAGGCGTGATGCTTTATGTTCCAGTTAAGGACATTCACGAACGAGAGACGATGTTGAGAGCAGTGAGGAGGCCAACCTTGACTGGAATACTTCAAGCCTTCATAGAATCTAACTCAAAGTCAGGGTGCAGTTGCTAAAACTTATAACTCCCAACATTCCGGTGTATCACCTTGCGAAATCGTTGGGTCCTTCGGTAATGTCTCCGTACAAGTCGAGTCCGGTTGGACGTGGCTCATCCTGATGTCCACTTCCCCGCACAAAGGAATGATGAACTCCACCCCCGCATTCCCCCCAAGATTCCCCCGTGAAACCAACTTGCCGAAACCCCGTGGGCGGCTTCTTGCATGGGTTGAGGGCCCTGAGTGGTATGAGCTTCGGGGCCCAGCGGATCCATATTGAGGAGAATCGTCTGACGGCCAGGTTTGTGATCAGCCAGAACCTTCCGTTCAGGTTTAGTTCATCCGAGGAGATCGTGGATTAGAGCCTCCGAAGCTTGTAGCTCCTGATGATACATGGAGACGCATGAAACCCCGGCAACGAAACGAGACTGATGTCAGTATAAGTAAGTGGTGTTCAATACCGCGTAAAAACCGTCCGTCAGGCGCTCCACGTGCAGTACGGAGAAATTGACGCGGATAAGCCAACCTACGACCAGCTGAGAGGAACAGACACTGTTTACATAGCCAAATACGTGGCAGCTTGAGTTCATGCCACACGCCCCATCAGTTGCAGAGCTCTCCGATGCGTATTATGAGCGGATTGTTAAGCTTTCGTGGCTGATGACTTTGCTTCAGAAATGTTTTCATACTGATACTGGCTTTTCGTAGATAGGGATGATTTAATGGTCTTCCTTCGAGTACTTGGCAGTATTATAACTCAACATCGAGTGGCGAAAAAATAGCAGAGTTGGCCTTGGGACAGATATATCTCTTCAGTTTGACTACAGGCGATTACTTAGGAGCAACATGTTTTCAATATGGAAAGTAATTACATGATTAGATGTTGCGCTACCATTTGGGGATCTTTGCGGAAAAGTCCGGCTGGAACTTCTGCATATATGTAGTATCATCTCTCTTCCGCAAACCGCAGTCGAGATACTGCTGGTGAAGCTTAGCCAGCCTCTCCCTATCAAGCTCAATCCCCAGACCAGGCTTTGTTGGCACATTGACACCACCATTGGACCATGTAAGCGCGCCGTCAATCACAACATCCTCGTTCCGTGGTTTCCAGGGCCAGTGGGTATCACAGGCGTAGTCGAGGTTGGGAGTCGCCGACGCCAGATGTGTCATCGCCGCAAGCGAGATACCCAAGTGGCTGTTGGAGTGCATTGAGAGACGCATTCCCCAGGTCGCGCAGATTGCCGCCAGTGTCTGAGACTTGCGCAAGCCGCCCCAGAAGTGGTGGTCTGAAAGGATGACCTGCACCGCGTTCTGGAGAATAGAAGGCGGGAGATGTGAGAACGCGACAACGGCCATGTTTGTGGCCAGCGGCATCGAGGCCTCCTTGGCTACAGCTGCCATACCCTCGATCTCGGGGGCAGGATCCTCCAAGTACTCAACGATGCCGTCGAGCTCTTTGGCAACCCACTTGGATGTCTCGACAGTCCAGGCGGCATTGGGGTCCAACCTCAGGGGCACCCCGGGGAATGCTGCATGCAGGGCCTTGACTGCCTCGACCTCCTGTGCCGGCGGGTATACACCGCCCTTGAGCTTAATGGCCTTGAATCCGAATTCGTCAATGATTTTCTTCGCCTGCCGCACGAGGCCTTCCGGGTCAAGCGCGGCGCCGTACTCATCGTCTGCGTCCCCGGGGTGCCCCGCCCATTTGTAGAATAGGTAGGCAGAGTATTGAACGTTGTCTCTGACGCGGCCGCCCAGCAGTTCACTGACGGGCACGCCTGCAAATTTGCCCTGAATGTCGAGGCAAGCGACCTCGAATGGGGAGAAGACCTTGTCAGCAACGGAGGCGGTTGTCACCATGCCCGCCATGCCATCGCCACCAGTGGTGGTGTCGCCCTTTAGTGAGTCGACGCATATTTGGTAGATGGCATTCGTGTCGTAGATTGTGAGGTTCTTGGCCTTGATCTGATCGGTAGCCGCCTGCAAGCGACCGAGGTGCGTTGAGTCGCCATAGGATTCACCCAGCCCGTAGACTTGGTCATCCGTAACTACCTCAATGATGCTGCGCAGGGCAAATGGTTCATGCACGCCGACGCTGTTTAGCAATGGCATGTCATGAAATGCAACCGGTGTGATGATGACATCTCGGATAATGCCACGAGGAGACATGATGCTGATTCTAAGCTTTGTTGGTTTGCAACGCTGTGTTCAGGTGGGCCGGTAGGAACTTGCGTCTCTCGAAATTGGAGTCTACCACCAGATCTTTCACATCTTTTTAACAGCCGAAGATGGGACTCATCGAATGGCCGTTGTCGCAGCGCTTCCCCGGAAGATCAGCAGATCGAATGCCGGGGTGGGGTCCTGAATATCCGCCGCTTTTGCGGATAAGAGGAGGTGGACAAGGATCGGCTCCGCCGCATTCCTAATGGAGTTCACTCCTCGAAACGGATAAGCGCATCCGCGGAACAGACCCCGGTCTTCCTCGGCCCCCGCAACTAACACCAGGTCATTTGTCCAGCTCACGAGTTGATCCGAGGAATGGTCAAATTGACGATACTTGACATCCGAGGAAACGATGGATGAGACGTCAACGACACCATTCCCCCGCGTCCGTCGAGCATCCGATGCGCCGGAAGACGGCCGAGCACCCAAACGGCTGAAAGATGATCCCATTCGACCGAGGGTCAACAGAGCATGCGATCGCTGCAAGTCGTGAGTACACCGTGACGACTGCCGGAGTAGACTAACGCCACTTGATTCAGGCGGAAAACGAGATGTTCGGGGACTTGGCCGTGCGTCTTCTGCGCTCACCTTCAGCTTGACTGCCAGTTCACGGCGACGTATCGACGAGGCCAACTTCTACCAGCAGTCGACAACGAAACTGCGGGCTCTGATAATTCAAGAGACCTCGGCCGCTCTCCGTCGACGTCGGAACAGAGAAACAGAGGTGATGGAGGCAATCACCGAGACTCAATCTCTGGCGAGACCCGGGTGCAGTTTCACTCACTTCCAACTGCACTTCCAGGGGCGGCACTGGATTTGTTTCCCTCGGGGCATCGAGCTACTGAACGTAATGATGTCCTGAGCAATCAGCCCCAAGAGCCACATCAACGTCAGACTTCCACTCGCAACTCCCCCGAGCCCTCTCAAACAGATGAACAGGGCCACTACGTGGGTCCGGCATCTGGGGTCTCTTTCCTGTTGAGGATCCAGAGGAAACTGCAAGTTCAATCTCCTGGCTACTTCAACTCCTCCGTCTTTAAGTTTGGCGATCGACCCTTGCCTGGCCATGACTCTTCATTTGCAATTCTGCCACCAAAGCCCGTGGCAGAGTCAATGCTAAAGAGATATTTCGATTTCGCCGCAACCACGCATCGCTTTCTGCATCGTCCCTCTGTGGAATCATGGTTGGAAGAGCTGTACGACACTCATGGTGCTTTGCTCTACAAAGAGTCTGCTCGGAGTCGAACGGCGATCCTCTTCATGGTGTTTGCTCACTCCAACAATTACCGAAGTCGCTTGTCTGTTGACAGTAAGGATTCGACGGCCGAGTCAACTGAAGTCAGTGCTCGGTTCTTTGCCGTTGCAGAGCACCAGTTGTCGATGGAGAAGGGCGAGATAAGCCTGGCACACGTGCAGGCACGCTTAGCCCAATGCTTCTACCTCTTAGCCCAGTCCCGACTTAATCACTGTTGGACTCTATTCGGTATCACGGCTCATCTCGCTATGGCTCTCGGGATACATAAGTCAAAGCACCCACTTTTCGACCACCCCTGCTTTTCGACCGCCATGAATTGACGCCATCGCAACCACCACCACTTTATTCAATTAATTATCAACTACCTCTTGAAGCCACAATAATGCAACTTTCGGCCTCACTGGGTAATTCAGATGCGCTGGATTCATCTGAATCATTTTCAGCTTCGCCAGCCTCAATCTGGGCTTGCCGTATCTCTTTGATTGTCGCAAACTTCGTATTTGGGTCCAACTGAACAGCCTTCCTCTTCCTGCTAGCAGTGTTGGCAACCTTGGCCTCTAGAAGCTCTATCTTTTGCTGGGCGGTAGCTAGGGAAAAGGACTGCTCTTAGAAGCCTTTTTTTACCTTCCTGAAGAGCTGGCGTTATGTGGCGATGTTTTGTTCTAGTTGGCTGAATATATGTAGTTGGTCCCCTAGGTCCTTCACCTTCCTTGGCGTAGACCACTTCACAGCAGATAAGGCTGACGCCCAGCCCTCTATACCATAGGCATCCTAGGCTATATGTTTATCTCTGGCAACCTTATTAAGTGGTGTTAATAGTGTTGTTGTTGATAATATTACCTTCTGAACCAGCAGCCTATTCATAAGCAGCTTTGCAATAGCAACAGGCCATAACCCAGTATATTTCCAGCCACTCTTAATATTACCTGCAGTCAGCCCAGCTAGGCGAGCCTTTTGATAGCAGGAAATAAAGTTCCTTTTGCCTATAACAGTAGAGTCGATCCACTAACTAAGATATCCCAGCTCTTTCCTATATGCTGCCTTAACAGGGCTGAAGACTAACTGGTCAAGTGGCTAGAGGACATAAGAGGTATGTGGAGGTAAGAATAACAGATAGATATTATTAGTATAGCATAACCATATAAAATCTGTCGTTATATAACTCCTATAGCTATCTAGGATAAGGAGTCTAGCTTAGTTAGGGCTAGAGGGCTTAGTTTAGGGGATAAAGACCCTTTCTAACCATTCAACAGCAGTAGCATCAGTAGTCCACCCATTCTCTGTTGATATGAACTCCCATCCATCATACAGGCTAAGTTCTAGAGGAAACTACTGCTGTTAAACTATCTTACCCTTATATATAACCAAGGGATGGATAGCAGCGTG